TCTTTGTTAGCTTTTTAGACGTGGTTCAAAGTATGTAACACTTTCTTTTCTTTGCAATAGTTAGACTTTGATTAATCGAAAACTCTGTTTTTGTGTTCATAAGCTTGCTTGTGAATTTTCTCGACAGATTGGTGGATTTCCATTTCGAGAGTGTTTGATCTGTATCAATCTAGCATTCACCTAGATTTTGGTCGACCTTCTACCTATTAAACCCAAGGAGCCTATTCCCAGGTGTGAATTTGTCCTTTGGGAAATTGTATTATTTCCAACGAAACTTGTTTTCGTTTGTTCTTGTTCGAGATTAGTTCCAGACTTGGAATTGAACCTTGTTGCGTATTCTAAAACATACAATCTCCTCACAGAGATCGTATTAGTTATCTCCCAAGCTATAGCCTTCTCATGTTTCCTTAGAAGTTCAATGAGAGCCGACTTCTGCTATAAGGTGAGATTTGCATTGATAATCACCGAAAATTTTGAATCTTCCCACAAGAAAGCGTATTTCAGATGCTCGGGTAGTAGCTTCAATTCAAGACAAGGTGGCTCTTCAATTGATGGTGCAATTCACTTTAGTTATGGAAGAGGTTATACCCTCCTATTATATTCTTCACCAATTTCATCATCCAAAGTATTCAGTTGCTCGTTCATATTTAAATCTAGTGCGTCCTCAGTACCTAAAATAAGGCATTGTTCAAGAGGGTCATCAGATACTTGATATAGGGAGGGGATATTGTAAAAATTAGGCAAATCTTCTGAAAAATTTAACTCATCACACTCTTCATGGGGTATGTAACCTACCTGATTTGTAAATGTGACCTCTTCATTTCCTATTCCTAACATCATTTTACCACCCTGTACATCAATGAAGGATTTGGCTGTTGCTAGAAATGGTCTACCCAGAATTGAGGAGCATCAATATCTCCATGTATGTCTAGGATAACAAAGTCAGCTGGAAATATGAAACGATATGCCTTAACAAGTAAATCCTGAACTATACCCTTGGGGAAAACAATAGATCTATCAACTAGCTGGATAGTCATTTGAGTAGGAGTTAATTAACCTACATCTAGCTTCCGAAAGACTTGATAAGGCATGACATTAATACTGGCCCCTAAATCTGCTAAGCATATCTTAAACAAAACATCACTAATCATGCAGTGTATAGTAAAACTCCCTGAATCGTTCTTCTTCTTCGGAAGCTTGTTCTGAAGGCCCACGGAGCACATCTCGTTGAGTCCAATAGTCAAGATATCCCATAATTTCTTCTTTTTGCTCAACAAATTCTCGCGTGCCTTGTATATTTAGGAAACTGAGTCACATTGTCCAGGAATGGGATGTCGATCTGAATTTTTTTCAAAAGAGCTAAGAACTCCGCAACTTCATTGTCAAGAATATCGTTTCTCAATCTTGAAGGATAGGGTGCGGACGAGATCTTGTCCCCCAGTTTGAGCTTTGTCTCTAGTCATCGTAGCTTCTGCCCTTGGTGGATTGATGTTAACAGTTTCTCGGGCTTTTTCTTGTGAGGGAGAAGTGGTCTCCTTATCTCCTTCGATTTCCTTCCCCGCCACTAACTACGATATTTGAGAGATTTTCTCTTCTAAGTCTTGGAGTCCTACTTCTTTTTATTTCTTGATTTTTTCTAGCTCATGGAGGTTGGCCGGAAGAGTTGCCATATGTTCTACTACTTTCGTTCGATCGTAGCTCTCTCTTGCAGCTTCCTAGAGTTGCACCATGCAAATTCCTAGGTCCTCAATTTGTTTCGGAAGTGTCTCCATATTGCCACTCGTGGTGGGTGATTCTAACCGGAAGACTAGCATAGGTAATCCAAATTCTTCTTAGGATGATGATCTCTCCTTGTTAGATTGCATTAGTGGAGGTGGACTGGCTTTGGCTTGCCCTTGACCAGGCGGTGAAGGCCACTTGTAACCCCCTATTATCTCTTGTAAATGCTCAATTTGGTCGTCCACTTGCGAGTTAGGTGAAAGAAGGGTGGAATTTAACTCCTCGTGATCTTTCCCTTCTTGTAATTCCTTCCATTCATGCTCATTTTTTGCCATTGACTCGCTATGACACAACTCCTAACAATGGCCAAGTGTAACCAATGAAAGGGATTGCAGTATAGTGGCTCAAGTAATAAATATCGAATCCGCGGGTCTCTAGAGTTACTATTACTCAGCTTCAGTTCATTATCTAGCAAACCAGATTAAGATGGAAGAACTAAAACTACTCTAACAAACTACAGTTAAAGTTAATCTAATTACAGGTTGGGAACTCACTTAGGTATAATTCCCCCTAGCCACTAGCCACTAGCCACTAGCCAGATTAATGATTGATGATTTCTAACTTGTTTCACTTTCATTCACAATGCGGAGAATCCTTGACTAGACATTGAATCTCGACTAAAGGACCAAGGCCCTCTTGAGTCGATTGCCTAAAGGGACGTATCCTTCTCTAGAACAACCGATCAAGGCGTTCTGACTAAACTCCCTCTATCGAATGAGGTTCTCAATTGATATAAAGCAGTGAATCTATCCTCGACTAAAGCAATCGATCCAATACTATCAATCTATGGTGCTCTATTGACCTAATCAGGTATTCGCTCTCATAGGATCAAAGCAGAATCAATAATCTCGACTAAAGCAGAATTGAATCATGAAAACATGCATAGATTGAATATGAGCTCAAGATTATCAAGTAAGAGTACTCATACAATCATCCAATCAAACAAACATAGCTAGGGTTCCTCAAAACCTAAGTGAAGGGAAGTTACTCCATAGAGAAGAGAGTGAATGCAGTAAGAAACTTCAGATGATCAGTCTCCAAGTCCGGGCTTGTTCCTCGAGCTTCCAAGGGAAAGAAATCCTCCAATACCACTCCAAGAGTGCCCTCAAATCGCCCTCTCTCTGGTTTGTCCCTTGGGTGTTTGGGATCCAAAACCCAGCTCTTTCCTTGCAAAAATGCACAAAACAGGCTTTTAACAGCATGCGTTCGCGATCCTCGGTCATAATCCCCGGTCGGGTATTTCGGGTGCCCGGCCGGGGATTTCAAAACGCAGAGCAGCGGTACAGGGGATAATACCCGGTCGAGGTCAATAATACCCGATCGGGTATTTTTGCTCTCTGGCCGGGACCCCTTATGTTTATAGACATCCAAAATCGATTTTCCCCGGCCTCTCTTAGCGATTTACCCGACCGGGTATTATTACTCATGGCCGGGTATTTTGCTCCTCCGGCCCTCTTCAACTCAAACGTCCTCCTTTTGACCCGAAACTCGTTTCCTCGCCTTAACGTCAACGCCAAGCCCTGAAATATGACATAAACATACAACCTAGCGTGAAATCGGCTTAAAACACGAGAATCTCTTCTCCAACGGCTCAAGAATAGGGGTATTAATGATGGCTCGCATGCTTGCGGTCTTGGAGGTGGTATAGAATCTGTTCAGAAATCTGTTGCAAAGCTCCTCCCATGAAGTGATGGAATGATGGGGTTGACTCATGAACCACTTTCTGGATTCTCTAATAAGTGAAAAGGGAAAGTGAAAAGGAAAAGTGAAAATGGAATGAGAGGGGAAGGGGGGGGGGGGGGGTATTTATACCCGACAGGCCGCACCCTCCAGGGGCGGTCGGGTAATTTTGCCAAACCCAAAACCGCGCCTTACCGAGGCGGTTTGCTCTTCCCCAGGCTTGACCGCACCTTGGCGCTGCGGTCCCCGATCCATGGCGCGGATTGCTCCGCTGGCGCGCGGTCCGCCCCCGATCGCTCCTCCATCCAACGGTCTTGAAGACTGTTCCGCAGAATATGTAAACCGCACCTTCCTAGTGCGTTTCGTGTGGTGACGTGGCTTGGAACGCACCCCTAAGGTGCGGTTTATAAGTAAAACGCACCTTAGGAGTGCGTTCCATAAAAAGGTGCTATTTCTGTCAATTTTTTCGGATGGGTGCTAGTTTTGTAATTTTTTTTAAACGTGCTATTATTGGAAAAATCCCAACAATTGGCCAAGCCGAGTTGGTGAATATCTAGAACCAAGCCTCAACACTAGTTTATTGGAATGTTTTGATACTTTGCTCTCTCAATAGGGTTTCAATATGAAAATAGCAAGAATGTACTCTTCAAAAAAGAAAAGGGTTATAGGTAAAACATGCCCTTCTTTTTTAAATCAAACATGCATATGTACTTTGAAAAAATTATCAAACATGGCCTTCTCTTAAAATTTCCATCCAAAATCCGTTAACAAAGGCCGAAATTTGGTTTGGGTGACACAAATGTCTAAAATATCCCTAATAATTTCACTTTAGGATTTTTTTGGTTCTTTTGTATAGCCAAATATTTCACTTTGAAGAGACCCAGAGAAATAAAATGGGAGACAAAACTGACATTTTAGATCCCATTTGCAGATGTCGGGTCGTCTAAATCTCGGTTCAACGAAGATTGACGATTTTTTCAATGGAAAGTTTAACAGAAGGGCATGTTTGATAATTTTTTCAAAGTACATGGGCATGTTTGATGTAAAAAATAGTAGAGGGGTATATTTGATAAAACATCATAATAGAGAGACATATTATACCTATAATCCAAAAGAAAACAAGGTATAAAAATTTAACTCCTAAAATTTTGATTGTGGTACATCCTATTCTTATATCAGTCGCAAAGCAACTCTACTTTCTCGTAGTTATTCCTTTTGATTATTTTGCATTAAGTTATGATATTTTTGAAAGGATATGAAACAAATATTTTTTTCCTTAACTTCACAAAATTAACACGTGTCATATTGTTCTCCACGAGTATAAATTAGCTATTTTTAATCTCAAACATAAAATATCAATCATAATTCTAAAGCTATCCACTTCAAATCGAAACAGATTTTTACATTGGACGAAACACTAAATACACCAATATTTAATAACTCACCGCAAAATTCGAGCCAATTATCTAATATGATGTAAAAAAAAAGAGAAAGATAAAAGAAGAAGAAAAAAGAAAAACTTCCTAGCTAACTAGAATGTCCAGCGACAAAACCTAGATTACCAATACGAAGTTGAACAATAATCTGTACAATCAGTTTTAAACCTTTCTAGAAAAAGAGGGGGGGAAAAAACTTGCCACCAAAAGAAAAAAACGGAAGAAATAGCAAAGAACATTCACTAAAACTTAACCAATTATGTGGTGGCAACTGTGTTCATAACCAAAATCAACCCTTACCAACAGAACTTTCTGGTAGCATTCATCTTCTTCTTCAATGTGCCCGCCCGGTGGCATTCTTATAAGTATACCACTTAGCAATCCATAGATAAACAAAAAAGTTGACCAAACTCAGAATGGCCAAAAGCCAGTAAAAGTAATCCAAGTGACCCCTGTTGAGATTATCAGGAATCCACCCAAGCTTCCCGCCTTTGGTCGTCACATCCGTCACCACCGTCACCAGCAAGGTACTCAAGTAATTCCCGAGCGCCACCGTCGTCAGCGACAGCGCCGAGCACAAGCTCCTCATCGCATCCGGCGCCTGATCATAGAAGAACTCCATCTGCCCAATGAAGGTGAAAACCTCCGCACACCCCACAAGAAAGTACTGCGGCACCTGCCAGAAAATCGACATGGGTATGGTCTCCAGGTCGTAGTAATTATGGCCTCTCACCATCTGCAGCCGGACGACCTCCAGCGCCCCGGCCACCACCATGGCGAGCGTGGATATGACGAGCCCGATCCCCATTCTCTGCAACTGGGTGAACCCATGTTGGTGGCCGGTGAAGTTCCTTGCTGCTGGAACGATCAGGCGGTCGTAGATGGGAGCCCAGAAGAGGACGCTGAGGGTGTCGAAGAGGGAAAGGGATGCCGATGGGATCTTGAATTTGGGGCCGATGTGTTGGTCCATTGTGTTGCCCTGCAGAACGAACATTGTGCTCATTTGGCTGTAGACCGCTGAGAATATGATTCCGCTCGCCCATACGGGTAGCAGCCTGATGATGGACTTCAGTTCTTCCACTTGTGTCACCGTGCAGAGTCTCCATGGATTCGATAGGCCTTTCAAGTCCTCGTCTGTCGTTTCCACAGCTGCCCTGTCAAAGAACCTGAAACGAAACAGTGGGCACGACTTTAGGCTATGTCCTAAATCCCAATAGTTACCCAGCTGTAGTACTACTTACTTGAACTCGTCGGTATGTTCCAGCCTGCGGCTGCCTTGAATTGAGCTTTCGGAATCAGAAACCTCGTAAAGAAGAGACTTATCAGCAGGCACTTGGATGTTCAATTTCCTCAAGGAAGCGACGATGACCTGGAAAATCCTCGTCAGGGGACTTCCACCAGGTTTCTGAACCCTGTACATCTTGCTCCCCGCAAAGAAGAAGACGATAGCAATGGCCATCGCCACTGTCGGAATCCCAAACCCCCAGTCCCAACCGACGTTCATCTGTATCCACACCAACACCGAGGAAGCAACCAAGGCACCGATGTTGATAGAGAAGTAGAACCAATTGAAGAAAGAACTCTTCTTCTTCTTCTCGGACTCGTCATTCTCATCGAACTGATCCGCACCGAACGACGAGACGCATGGCTTGATCCCACCAGTCCCCAGAGCAATCAGGTAAAGCGCCACGAAGCACACCGCAGTTTGGGAAGACGTGGCATGGCATGAATCTCCACTGCAAGATGGCCTCAGTCCCGGAACAGCCGACGACATTGTCAGGAGTGACATTCCCTGCAGTTGAGATCAGGCCAAGCTTAGGATTCATTTTCAGCATAAGAGCTGCAAATTTGAATCGGGGTTCCCAATTTTCCCTACTTACACAGATGTAGACGATCACAAAACCAGCAATCGTCCAGAATCTCCCCAAGTAGGCATCGGCCAAGAAAGCTCCAATCAAGGGCGTGACGTAGCAAGTTCCTGACCAGTTGGTGACACTGGTTGATGCAGCAACGTTACCCATGTTGAGGCGTTCTTGAAGGAAGTTCACCAGGTTGGTACTCATCCCATAGTATGCCAATCTCTCGCAACATTCGTTCCCTGTAAGTAAGTAAGTAAGTAAATGACCAACGGGAACTGGGTTGGAAAGGTTACGACCTTGAGGTGCAAAAGAGTTCCCCCAGAAGAAGATGGGTTTGGAAATGAATCATTACCGAGAATGAAGCGGCAAGCTTTCCAGTTGCCAGTTTCGAGCTTATTAGCTGGCTTTCCATGGATATCTACTGTTCCATCCTTGGTATAGTTATCCTCATGCTCCATCATTGGTACCTATTACAGACATAAACCGTTAAAAGAAACTATGGCAAGATTGTCTGGAGAACCATCTCCATCTGGGTTTGTCTTCAAGTGGAGGGAGGGTTTCAGAGTAGAGAAAAAGTATCACACAAGATATATTGTGACGGGGTGTAATGTGTTCTGCCACTGGGGAATCGTAACGCGTGCACCAAATCTCTGTTAATCTTTCTTCTGGGGAAAAGATTGAATGGGTGCTGTACTCTATCCTGTGCACGTTCTTCACTAAATCCAGAAACGTTTCGGTGAAGAACAAACGTGAAACGCGTATGATAGCGAGAGAAAGAGAGAGAGAGACGAGAAGAAGCAGTAAAAAATAGAGCACGGTAACGGTGGAAAAAATAATAAACGGAACTGAGAATCTCGAATTCCAGAAACTCATTCACTGTGAATATTGAGTGATCATACTGTTAGCGAGAGGCAATTTTATTCACCCAAATGGCAAATCGCGTCAATTCCAAACATAATCGTTTTTACAGCGATCCACTCAAGGCAGAGGAATAGTGGAAGAGCAGCGACATGAGAGCAAGGAAGGTCTGGCGACAATGGAGACGTACCTCTGAGACTGAGAGACAGGAAGAGAAGATAATTGCGGAGAAAGCGAATGAGCAGAGAAGGAATCGAATATGGGTTTGTGGTTTGGTGGAAATAGGAGAGGAGAAGAGAAGAGAAAGACGGATTCAGTTGGCGAGCGAGAAATCAGAGTCACAGCCCGAGTCCTCCTCTGCTCCCACTCTGCCTCTCACAACTAACCGCGCCATTTGGGAGTTATCCATCCAAGTTACATTAATATTATCCAACTCCGATACAGCACCGTTTTGTCTTTGTACGTAAGTAAATAGTGGTAACTGACTGGTAAGCACGAGCAGCGGAGTCGGAGTGGAGTCCTCCGTCCTCGATTCTTCAATATTTAGCTGGTTTTCTTCAGGTATTCTCGGTGGTTTTATGCCGCGTGGGCGCCATTAGCAGAAAGAGTGTGAGTCCGGATGCTAAGGGAACCGAGGTGAAGTCACGCGCTTCCTGCTCTCAAGAGTTGATCGTGGGGCTAAACTCCTCCGGTTGCAGGTGGCTCCGTGAATTTGTATCGGCGATATATTCGAATCACGAAGGGCCGTTGGCGAGTCTCTTATTTCTCTCTGCCGGGATTACAGAATCCGGCTTCTTTCTACAAATATTTAATCACAAATTTTGCTCAACAAGTTATAGTAACTAGATAACGGGCTTGCGCTCTATGCCGGATAGTGTGAACATCTAATTGAGTTGCATTAGATTGACTAGTCTAAATTGATCTTCAATTCTAGTTTGATTTCGCTTGTCCTATTATTTTATTTTTATTAATTTTCTTTAAGAAAATAAATATCGCTTTATCTTTTGGAGGATTTCAATACTTTCTTAATTTATCTTTTTAATCAAATGTATTGAGCATTCAATTCATTTTAAAATGAATTTATGCTTAGAATTCAGCGTCAAATGAATTTTTATACTTGGAATATCAACTCTATAAATGTAATGAATTGAATTCTAAAATTTTGTTTGTAATAAGTTCAAAATTGAATTAAATTAAAAGTTTTCAACTATACCCTTATTAACTTTCATCAGAAACAACATTGTTATTGCTCATTGAAAATCCATCTTCTAAAAATTTAACTGCCAAAGTTTTCATCCAACCAATTCGACCAAACAAAATTTTTATTTTGTAGAAACTAGAATAAAAAAATTAAGATTCATCTTCTAGAACAATTCATTGTATGCTGGTCGCCTTTAACTAGTGTCTTCTGTGATCTATTCTAATATTCAATTTTGGAGGTCTATTCTCATCCTACCAAAGAAGGTGCTTGATAGAATTCATAAGTTGTGTTCAGATTTTTTATGAAATGGGGATAAAACTGGAAGGGCTAAGGTAGTTTGGGATTTTATTGCAACACCAAAACGAGAAGGTGGCCTTGTAATGTAGTATGTTAGCTCGTCTTTTCTGGATGTTATTTATGCGTGGCGGGAGGTTTTGGGTTGCTTGGATTTATCATTTCAGACTCAAAGGCAGGCTTCTTTGGTCTATCCCAGTCACTTCTTCTGGTTCATGGATCTGGCGCCAAGTTTTATAGCATCGAAGTTGGTTCAGGTTCCGACTTGAGTTGGATCAGAGTAGGGTGGTGACGTGGGAGGGAAAGGCTATGCAGAAATTCTCCCTTGGCAGAGTCTGGGAGTCGATTCGAATTCATCGTTCGACTGTTCCATGGTGGCAACTTGTTTGGGGTCCCTATGCCATTCCTCGTCACAAAATCATTATTTGGTTGATCATCCTTGACAGCAATGTAGTCAAAATCGTGATTTAAAACTTAAAAATTACTATCTTACGTTTCTAAGTTACTAAAACGCTTCTACAAAAAATTTCATCTTTTATAACTTACGTAGTCAAAAACTCTGATTTAAAAACTTAAGAACTTACGATTTTACGCTTCTAGATCACCAAAACGTTTCTACGTAGAAACTCGCTTTTGACTACATTGCTTGACAGGATTTCAACTAAAGATAAACTCAAGGCATGTGAAAAAATTGCAGATGTTGTTTGTGTCCTCTGCAACACTGCTGATGAAACCCGAGGGCATATGTTTTGTCAATGCTTGTTTACTCGCAACCTTTTCTCTGCTGTTTCCAGAGTGTTGATCAATACTTGGCCATGCTCCTCGGAAAGCAGACTCCGTGAAGCTGGATCTTTAGCGTTATCTGGTGGGGTCAAAGGTCGAGTTACAAGCTCTTTTTGGTTCTAGATTACATATATGATATGGAAAGAACGCTGTAGCAGAGTGTTCGGTGGCCCTCGACTTGACTGTAGGGCGCTACTTTGGCAGCTACGAGAAGAAATTTTGCTCGTGGCTATGAGTAATAGAGCTTTTTGTTTCGATCTTACTAGTGTTTTTGAGTTTAGATCTATGATTTGAGAAACCGAGTTGTGGTTTTTTCTGTAGGCAATTTTACTCTGTCAGGTTTTTTTCGGACGCTTGGTTATTCTGATCAAGAGAACTTAATAAAGCTTCCTAATTATAGAAGAATAAAAAATTCATTATAACCCATTTTCTCCCGAGTCAAGAGAGATTGATCTCCTCGTGATTATATATTAGGTTAAGTAGCAGCCGTGCGAGGAATGTTACACGCACAAATGTCGTCAACCAAATCATCGAAGGGGGCACAAAAGTTTCTACAGATGGGAGAATAAAAAAAATGGGAGAACAATTATAGAATAAATAAAAATGGAGAAAAAAGGTTAAAAAAATTACGATGTATCCTCATTTACCCAACTAAACCCTTTAAATCAAGTTGTCATTTATATATAATAACTAATTATTATTATTTTGACAAAATACACCTGGATAGCCATAACTATCCTTATTGTAATAATAATAACCAACTTCTATAAAATACACAAAAATAGTCATTCCGTCTATAAGTTAAACCGAAATATAGTAGATGATGACTGGACTAACGGTTTTTGACATGACAAATTTTGGTCAAACTTAATGCTAGGTGGAAAGCTTCTCTTCTAATTACATGAAAAAAACCAAAATCTCCAATATAAGATGGTGAAGTTTTTTCAAGTTGTTAGTATTTTGAATTTACTGAATGGAGAGTAAATTCTGGTACCCCATTTTGGTAATTTTATGCCTCTGCTTATGTTTGGGCTTAACTTATTGATACTTCCTTTGACAGTTTCAGCCCACATTAGGCCATTCGCTTTTGTTGGCCCGAAGATAAATAGGATACATACATTTTGTCTTATATTATATACACTTTTTATCGAACAACTTGACTTCTAATTTATAATCTTGAGATAATAAAATATAGGGAAAAGCAACAATTTCATTACGAGCACCAATTTTGCTCTTATATGAATATTCAAACGTAAAGATGGCCAACAAAGTAGAACCATATTTGTTGAAGAAATCATCAAATAATATCTAACTGACTCACTTCAATATTTTTCGTTGGTCCTTTGAACAGTATTAATTAAATGAATATCTTAACATAAATTAATATTTGGTTAAATTCATTATTAAAATGGTTGGTTATAGCGATAAAAAATAAGGATAATTACTAATTATTAGCCAAACATTATTTTTTTTTAGCAAAATCTATTGAATTACTAATAATTAGTCAAATCTTTTGTAAATTATCAAAATATTAATCATTTTTTGGTTATCGTTAATAATTTTCTAACTATTTTCTTAGTTACAATACTAAAGTTAGATAAAAAAATTATTAATTTAAGCATAACATTATAAGTCAATCAATATATGAATTGTAAACTCATCCGGCCAAGGCTGAGTCCAAGCTAGTAAATAGAGTACGACCCAACCTCATTATCTCTCATCTCTGCCTTCTTCCTCTGCTTCCTCTCATCATCGTCTTCACTATCACCATTCCCACCACCACCACTATATCCCTCGCCGACGACCACAACAAACCCCCTCCATCATCTGTACAAAGCTCCACTCCTCCACTCCCCCACAAGCCGCTTCCCAAGGATGACTGCTCCTCCTCGTCGTCTGGGTAAGAACGTGGAAAAGGCATGACAACTACGAGCAAGATTGGAAAAGCAATCCTCTAGTTCAGATAAAGTTTTGCACCGTCGAGAGCTTGTGTAGGGTTATTGCTTCGTCGAGGGAAAAGCACTCAAGCTTCCATGGCAGATGTGCTTATTTTTTAACTAGGGTTTTGGGATTCAAATTAATCAATCAGTTGAAAACCCCGAATCTCAGATCCATCTTCTTTGGGATTACAAGAAATGAGCCAGAAATTTGCCTTGATCAAAGATCTTTTGTATGTGGAGGAGACCGATGGCGTTTTCAGGGAGGCTTTCCCCATGAGGTAGTTTCAAGGCGTCGACTGCGATTTTATGGAGCTCTTTAGAGAGTTTTGAGGAATTGTAAGGATGATGGTCGTCGATTTGTTGCTCGACCATCTACTTCAGCACCACTTTGGGTTTCGTGGTTGACAGCTCTGGCAGTGGTTGCCGATAGTAGCTTCTTCTGGGTCTGTGCCGCTCCCACCAGCTCCGTCGCCGATCAGAAGTGTAGATTTGGAAACAAGATGCCTGAAGGAATCAATAAAGTAGGAGCTCGCTTTGTTTATATCTGAATCGGGGAAACGACGAGAAGTGGTACCAGAATTTGTTGCTCATCGTGTGAATGAATAATCTTTTTTAATATGATGTGGCGTTCTTGTGGTATTATGAGTCTATTTGGACATGACGTGTCGTCCAGATGGCATTCACATCAGCTTAACATCTGCTTAACTGACGGAATCGTTAAAGTATGTGATGAAAATGACTAAATTTGTCAAACAAGTTTAAAAAGTGTGAATATATATGTTTATTTTTGAAAAAGTGGCTATTATTGTCAAAAAATGGATAATTATGGTTATCCAAGTGTATTTTGCCTATTATTTTTAATGATTAATCATACAATGAATGAATCCAACTGGCAAATACCCAATGCCAATTCTCAATCTATATAGGGCTAGTTTGGCTCAGCTATAGGATTTGCAGAAGCAACTTCTAGCTGGAATTTTTAGAGAATTCTTTTCAGAAAAAGCAGGTAAGTTTTTGGCTAAAAAAAACTATTTGAAGTACTTTTTAATATAAGAGGGTATGTAAAATTACTATAAAGGATTTATAATATAAAATACGAATCAAAATTCTAAACAATAAAAACTAGTCAAAATGAATCTTATTAGATTTCTTTTATATTAAATAATATGATTTTATAATTAAATTTATTTTTAAAAATATATAAATGAAAGAAAATATATTTTCAAAAAATAAAATTAAAATATGGTGAGGATAATCTTGTATTTTCAAAACAG